CACGTCTCTGACCAGTTTACACGCCAGGTACCGTACAGACCCCAAGCACCTCACAGAGCCAGGCTTGCTCATCCACAGGGGAGAATGAAACCGTTTACACACCCCCCACCTTCCTCCTTTGTAAAACCAATGGACTTTCACTATCGTTTTCACAGGACTGATGTGTTCAGGTCATGGAGAAAGGAACGGGGCTGCCTTCTTTTAATGAAGCTGACTTAGGCCTGGAACTAAGTTAAGCACTTTATACAGGTATCTCTTCACCTCAATTTACATTAGGGGCCAATTGTTTTAAAGCAATAAATGAAATAACGTGAGAAACCATGTCTGGCATTTCAGAGATGAGGAGCATACTTAGACATACCCAGGAAAAGCGGAGGGTGTGCCCTGGTGGCTGAGCCTGCAGCCCAGGGGGGTGGGTGTGAGCAGAGGGTGTGCCCTGGCAGCTGAGCCTGCAGCCCCAGGGTGTGAGTGAGGGTGTGCCCTGGCAGCTGAGCCTGCAGCCCAAGGGTGTAAGCAGAGGGTGTGGCCTGGCGGCTGAGCCTGCAACCCAGGGATGTAAGCGGAGGGTGTGCCCTGGCCACTGAGCCTGCAGCCCCGGGGTGCGTCTCAGGGCCATCGCCTGGAGGTGCATCCACACACACAGTCTCACTCCATTTGTTCCTAACTCGGTGAAAATCTCTCTTTACAGAACTTCTGCTGACATCGCACTGAGCCGTCAGCCTCTGAGAAAGGCACCGTGCCCGCACAGCGGTCTTCAGGAAGCGTGAGTGGATACCCAAGCCGGGCTGGGTGCTTGGGTATTCATCTTTCTCCACACTGGAGAGAAACGGCCAGGCAGGGACACACAGTGAGATGCACAGGGCCCAAGTCACTCGGTGGAAATGAGCTTTGTGGTTTCCTAAGTTTGCTCAGAAGAGCTTTCATTCACGCATGATACTCTTTAGATTCAAAGATATTAAAACTCATTTAGAAAGCTCACATCATCCTCAGCATCTCTGTGTATTAGCACAAGGAGGTGACAATGTGGAAAACCCATAACCTCTGCAGCATCAGAGGCACTATGATAAAATGCCTAAGTTAGGAGAATATGTTTTAAATTTTTGCCCCGTAACAAAAAAATCACACAGGGTTCCCTGAACCCTTTTAAATGCAAAGTCTGTGCATCTTAAGTGAAAGGGGCTCCCTTCTTTTGAGAATCCCTTTAAGTGGGTGCTACCTAAGATTGCAGGTCCACGGTCTCAAATAATTCTCTTCTTTCCTCCAAACCAAGAATTCACAAATAACCTAAATAAAAAATCAGTGTTCATTGCATCAAATGTGTAGCCAACAATCTGGTGCCAGGCGCCGTGGCTCACTCCCAAAGTGCCTGTAATCCCAGCAGTTTGGAAGGCGGAGATGGGCAGATCACTTGAGGTCAGGAGTTCGAGACCAGCCTGGCCAACACGGTGAAACCCTATCTCTACTAAAAATACAAAATTAGCCTGGCATGGTGGCCGGTGCCTGTAATCCCAGCTACTCAGGAGGCTGAGGCATGAGAATCACTTGAACCCGGGAGGCGGAGGTTGCAGTGAGCCGAGATCACTCCATTGCACTCTACTAGCCTGGGCAACAAGAGCGAAACTCCAATCCAAAAAAAAAGAAAAAGTGCTGGAATTGCAGGCATGAGCCACCACATCCAGTACTGGGGTTTTAATTACTTAGAACACAAAAGGGTTTATACTACAAATAATTCATCCAATAAACTTTTTAAAATTTTTAGCAAAAAGAATTATTTCCATTTTTAAACAATTATTTTAAATTGAATATTTAAATTGAATATTTAAAACAAAACATTTATTTAATTAATTATTTCTTGGAATACCTTTCAGGCAGGTTTACATCAATGTATCACAACTTGAAACCAAATAAAGAGAAAATCGCAGCTTAATTCTTCCAAGCCAAACTCACCCTTCTCGCCTTGCTCTGATATTTGATAGCTTTTTTTGTTTCTTCTTTAGCGTGTTCTACATAGTCTGTGGCATTCATAACGTTTCTTTCTATGTTGTTGATCATTTCACCCTTAAAACAAAAGTTTCAAACTTAGAAGACATTTTCAAATGGCTTAATTATGTATCTTTAAGACAACCATAGAACAAAGGTTTTATGTAAACATGATGTGCATGTAATGGATACTGAGGGTTTTTTTCACATTTACAGAAAGATAAAAGATGAGGTCATTATACATGTGCCGGTGCAAAGCAATCAAAACTCAACTTATATTTCAAAAAGAACGGAAAGGAAAGGGCTGCCATGTTGATAATTAAAGGCATCTCAAGTCAATTCTGAGATACCTTTGGCACGCAGACACTGCGACAGACGGGCAGGGGGAGGAGGCAGCCCGCTTTCGGTTGAACTAGTATCTTACCATTATGCGGACAGACAATGTACAAAGAATGACATCTTTTCCACAAAGTACAAAATTGTAACTACTTCTTTAAATCAGTACACTGAGCACAGCTCACATCTGACACTCAGCTGACTACATCAATGAGCAAAATGTAAACAGAGGTGAATTCAGCAAAGTGTGAGGGAGAAAACGTATTACCTGGTTTTCTGTCCACAGACACAACCTGCAGCAGTGAATCGTAAAGCATTGAAGAATGACGGACAGTTAACTCACTCAGTCACAAACTTCAACTTACTAGTAAGCTCTGACTATGCAAACATTAGCATTAGATGAGTCAATATAATGTGATACCAACAGACTTCTAAAAGGAAACCGTGAAACAAAGCCAGGGATACAGCCATTTTTCTAAGCGAGCTTAATGCAATGCATTTGGTATAGAGCAATTACAACTGAAGTCTAAGGTACTACAAAAGCTTTAGTAATTACAGAAATCATCTCTCATTCTTTCTGGCCAGCTGGTTTCCTTTGGAATGCTTCCTGGAAATAAGTAGCCAACGGTAATCAGACTCCCCACACTCCACTTCTCATATCGTGAATAGCAATGGGGCCCCCCAAATCAAAAAGGAGTAAGATCGTCCTATCCCTGCCCTCTGTGTAGCTGTTGGTTTCCTCCAGCAAATGCTTAGAAATACAAACATTAGCCGGGCATGGTGGTGCACACCTGTGGTCCCAGCTGCT